AAGAAAACTGTAGGTATTTATTTACTGCTTTTTTGCCCAAGGTGATTAAGTAAGTAGCCAGGCTGGAATTTGAACCTAGGCAGCCTGAGGCAACCACCGTATTGTACCTTCTTTGTGGTCAGGTGATGATTAATTATCACGGGCGATTGCATGGCTCCTGCGGGAACTGTGAGTCCCTCCTGCTCCTGGAAGTTGATGAAGGTCCCTGGCTTGGTTTCTGGGCCTTCACCTGGCACATGTTCTGGATGAGGATGGGGGTCTGGTTCAGAACCGGAGTCCAGGTGGCCACCAGGAGCAGGGCTAGTGACCCCAAGGGCAGATGAAGGCTGTGGGTGCATCAGAGCACTTACAAAGAAGGTGTACCCACAGAGGGTGATCAATTCCACATCAATTGCAGGGCCAGTATAAAGTGAAAATGTGGGGGCCTTTGTTTAAAAAGTAGGAAGTCAGTGCCATTAAAGGCATGAGAAGATGTGAAATGTTTTCCTTTCTTCTCTCTCTTGACCTCTCATGGTGTTTTCCTTTGTTATTTGATGTTGTGCTCCCTTGGGCACAGGGAAACTTGCCTGGCAAGTGCAGACCCTCACAGGTACCCGGGGGCCCTGCCATGCCCACCAGCCTGTGATCCAAGGCCCAGGCCCCTGCTGGGGTAGGAAGCCCATCTCCTCTTTCCCTGAGCCTGCTGTCCCTAGCCACAGCAGACAGGCAACCCTCAGGGATTGCACCCTCTGAGCTGGAACGTGCTCAGTGTCTGGATCAGGGTGGCAGAGAGGCTCACCCTTACTAAACTGCCTGCCTGGCATGCCATGCAGCTGCCAGTCTGGGTCAGGGACAGCACTGCCATGCCCCACCCTGAAGTGCAATGGGTACATGAGCCCGACCCCAAACACTCCCCAGTCCCCCGTCCAGGCCCCTGCCAGGTGTCGGGGAAGTGGGTGGGTCAGAAACTGTCCAGGAGAGGCAGGGAGGTTGAGGGAAGAGGGTTCCAAGCCACCTGGCATGTGCTCCATTGTCCCATAAGACTTCCCTTGGCACTAAAAGCAAGCCCGAAGTCCTGTATAACTTCACTGGTTACCCGCCCATGTAGCCGGCCCTGCATGTCCATTTTCCTGAGACTTTTTGCAGTTTTAGTACCAGGTCCTAAAAATACCCCCAGTCGCAGGCAGACTGGGATGGCTGGTCCCCCTACACCTAAAACAAAGCTACCCCGGCCCAAATTCTCCTTCAATGAGCTTAGCTAGAATTTGACAACCTAGAGGAAAGATATTTCAATGTTTGCATGCATGTACATTTGTGACATTTTAAACAATATAAATTTATTCTAAATTTTATTTATACACACATATCTGAGTAGGGGAAGGAGCTTAGTCTTTTCAGGTTTTGGGACTGCTGACGGTCTTCAGCCCTGTCCCCAGCAGGGTAGCATCTGTGGCTGGACACTGCTCTCTAGAGGTGGCTGGATTACAGGAGGGGGCAAGTCACCTCCCACTCAGCTCTGTAGGAGTGGACATCTTTGCACATGGCTCTGAATCACTTTTGTGAGTCATGAGCAAATGTACTAAAGAAGTTTCTTGTTTCAAGGGTTCGGTGCCCTGTACCAGCCAGCCACCAGGAAAAAAAAAAAAAAAGGGAGAGAGAGAGAAAAGGTTTCCATACTGATGAATCCAGCCCTTCTCACAGGCTCCTGGTGGGCTGTAGTGGGTGTTGGCTGGGACTCAGGCAGACCCGGGTTCCTCTCCCAGGACCAGAGCTTGTAAGTGTGGATAAGCTGTGACATCTCCCTGAGCCTCAGCTTCCTCTTCTGTAAATGGGATCATCTTGCCTCATACATAAAAGTTTACAGGGAGGACTACGTGGAATCACATGGCTGAACCACCAGCACAGAGCCTGGCCTGCAGTAAGTGCTTAATAAGTCAGAGCTGTTGATCTGCACAGGTGGAGGCTTTACGACTGTCACACATGAAACCTGGCTGGCAGGATGGCTTGTGACTGTCTGCAGGAATAAGTGGGAAGATTCACTGTGTAAGGAGGCCTGTGAGTTTGTGAATGCAGCTACCAGACCTGACTTGCCCCCTGCTGTGCCTTCCCTGCCTCCTGCAGCAGGGCTGGGCATGTGTGTGTTGGGGCCTCATGACTGATTGTTGGGCAAATGAGTGGAGGATGACTCTTTTTTTTTTTTTTTGTCTTTTGTCTTTTTCCGTGTCTGGCAACGGATCGCAACCCTCAGTGTTGCCCCCGTACCGGACCGGGGACCGGCAACGGGATTGCAACCCTCGGTGTTGCTCCCGCGCCTCGCTCAGCCAGTGAGCGGGAACCGGTCTGTATGTGGGATCCGAACCCTCGGGCGGGAGCGCCGCCGCGCTTCCCAAGCAGCGCACTATCCAGTGCGCCACCGGGCCGGCCCCTACATTTAGCATTTTTATACAGTATGAGTTTTTCCTGCTATCAAAAGCACCTGGGACAACTGAAAGCTTTCCCACACTCCTTACACTCACACGGTCTCCCTCCAGCATGAGTTCTTTCACGTCTTTAAAAGGGAGGAGACCAACTGAAGGCTTTACCATATTTACATTCACACGGTTTTTCTCCAGTGTGGGTCCTCTCATGACTTTTAAGTGAACGGGGGAGCCAAAGTCTTTCCCACATACCTCGTGTTTATAAAGCCCATCTCCAGTGTGTGTTACCATGCGAGAGAAATGAAGGCTTCCCCTCACTCCTCACATTCACAGGGTTTCCCTCCACTGTGAGTTCTTTCATGTTTTTCAAAGGAACTGGACCAACTGAAGGATTTCTCACGTTCCTTACATTCATAGGATTTCTTTCCAGTGTGAGTCTGTTCAGGGGTTTGAGGTGACATGGGGCAGCCCAAACCTTTCCCATAGGCTTTCCCATGAGGCTTATATTTATATGGCTTCTTTCCATTTCTTCTTTTTCTTTTTCCTTTTTGTCTTTTTTCATGACTGGCAATGGATCGTAACCCTCAGTGTCGCGCCCGTACCGGACCGGGACCGGCAACGGAATCGCAACCCTCGGTGTTGCGCCCACACCTCGCTCAGCCAGTGAGCGGGAACCGGTCTGTATGTGGGATCCGAACCCTCGGCGGGAGCGCTGCCGCGCTCCCAAGCGGAGCACTGTAGCAGTGCACCACTGGGCCAGCCCCGGCTTCTTTCCATTTCTGATTCTCGTATGATTTGGGTCCAGTGTGAGGTGGCATGTTCCTATTAAGGGAGGAATGAATGACACATGCAGATTTTTTCACACAAACCACATTCACATGATTTTACTCCAGGAGAACTCCTCTTGTTCAGAGAAAGTTTTGGCATCTGGCTGAAAGTTTCTCCACAATGACTTTCTTTACTTTCACTGGCTTCGTCTATGATGTGACTGCACAGATTCCTGCTGTGATTTTTGTATGGATCTTCAATGCTTTTGTCTTCCTATTTTTTCCCTGAAGAAACCAAGTTAGTAAAGATTTCCCCTGTGACATCTGTAGAGTTTTCTCTGGGAAGGATCCAGCACAACCCACTCCTCCAGGGTAAAGTTGACAGCCACATCCTCAAAGGCAACTGTGTCATGATTTAGGTCTTTGGGAGAGCAGGACAGTCCTCTCAAGCAGGTGGGAAGTGGCTTGAGAGAACAAGGAAAGGAGCCTGGTCTGGGTTTTTATCATGGTTGGGGTGAGGCTGGGCAAGAGTTCCACGGGCAGGCACCAGAGGAGGGAGCCCCAGGCTTCCTGGAAAGCTGGCCCAGGTGTGGGCACATTTCCCGGCTTCCAGGTGTCCTTCCTATGGTCCCCCATGGCCAGGGCAGGTCACAGAGGGGCAGAGCTATACATTTTAATGTATGAAAAAATTTTTTTTCTCATTACTCACTTACAAAATCTTGTTCTTTTTCCCCTCAGATAAATAAAGTTTCAAAAAATTGTATTGAGATTTTAGTTGGAAATGTACCATACCTGTATTTTTATTTCTTGCAAGAATCAACTTATTTTGGGGCCGGCCCGGTGGCGCACTGCTACAGTGCGCCACTTGGGAGCGCGGTAGCGCTCCCACCGAGGGTTCGGATCCCACATACAGACCGGTTCCCGCTCACTGGCTGAACGAGGTGCGGGCGCAACACCGAGGGTTGCGATCCCGTTGCCAGTCCCGGTCCGGTACGGGTGCGACACTGAGGGTTGTGATCCGTTGCCGGACACGAAAAAAAAGACAAAAAGGAAAAAAAAAAAAAAAAGAATTACGCTTTCATTTCACATCAGGATTTTTTTACCATCTAGAATAGAATTTCATCCAATTAAAGACTATTAAGATGATTGTTTCTGTCTATAGTTGTGGTGTCTTATGTTACTAGAATTTTCTAATAGATTAAACCATACTTGCATTTTCTAATATTAACATATTTTTTTCAAACGTTCTCAAGCCTTCAGCTCTTCAGGAGGCCCAAATTAACATGAGAGCCCATTAAGTTCATTAATAAAGTCAGTGAACCACAGGACAGAGGGCAGAGCTGCAGCTCGTCCTACAGAGGCGGCCTCAGGAAGCAGCAGAAGCTTCATGGCCACCCTGTAAGTGCAGATCAAGATTTCTCAAAGGAGAAGGGGAAGGGAGGAATGGAGACGACAGGAGCATGTGGGCACATGGAAGGAAGGGGTTGGTGAGGAAGGGCTGGGGACAGGCCCAGGTGGGGGGCTGGAGTCTGAGTAGGGATAGGGAGCTGAGGTGGGGGAGGCCCGTGGAGAAGGGGTTGAATCCTGCCTTTGCCAGAGATTGGCCCATTTCTTCCTCCATCCCCACCTTCCCATTTGGGTTTGGGGGAAACGCAGGATCTCAAATTAAGCCTGCTCTTCCTCCAGAGTACCCATCTGGTGGACAGTGACACCAGCACCCATACCACCCTCCCAGCCAGAGACCCGGGCCCCCCCAGTGCCTCCCTCCTGGGAGACCGAGCCCCGTCCCAGCCCTGTCCTAGTCGTGTCTGGCCCAGCACACCCAGCACAGGCCCAGTCCCAGGAGGGGCTCACTGAATGTTTATTGGACAAAGAACACAGGAAAGACAGTCGCAGGAGCTCTCTCTGAATGTGGAAAGTAGCCCTTCTGGAAAGAAAGAATATTCTTGGCTCACGTGGGTTTGAATCAGTTCAAGACCATGCCTAAGGCACATGGCTGGTGATGGTCTCTGCACCAAAAGACGTGGGTGGGCTTGTGGCATGGCGGAACTCTTCTTACTCCTTTTCTTTAGGTTTCCAGGCTCGGCACAGGTGGGAGGGGTAAGTGAGGGGCCCTTGGGTGCAGCTCCCCACAGCTTCCCCCGGGAAGGACCTCCACGGCCCAGGCCGCCTTCCTCCTCTCCACCGACCAGTCACTGTGCGGCGCGGCTCACACCAGCGGGATGGGGTAGGAGGCACAGGCGGCCAGACCGCACATGTTCTTCCCGCGCTCAATCAGGAAGTACCTGGGCAGAGAGACGGGGAGCTGAGGCCTGGCCGGCCGCTTCCTCACCACAGAACTTTCTGGAATGTTTTGCTGCTCACCAAGAGCTGACTCCAGGGACTAGGTTCTCTTAATTTATAAAACAGGAGCATGGGGCTTATTTTATCACCAGGAAATGACTGACCTGACTTTGTGGATGATTTACTCTTCCCTCTCCTTGGCTGCCAAATGAACTCTCTTTCCCGTTCTATCCATAGCCTCCCCCTCCCAGGATTTACTGAGGCCCCTTTTCAGCTCTGGCTAGTCCCTCGCATAGCTATTTAATCCTCACTAGGACCCCTGAGGTAACAATTAAAACTCTCCTTTTCAGATGAGGACAAGGACACTGACAGGACAGACCTGGACCAAGTCACATCAACATTTATTTGTACTCAGGCCTCCTGTTTCCAGCCTTTTTTCCTCGAAGCGTCTGTCGACGATCAAGGATAACTTTGCTGCCCTGACTTCTAAAGGACTTTCCCAGAAGCTGGCTTAGTTCCAGTGGGGTTCTGAGTTCTGGGATGTTCTCCCAGCAGCGGTTACAGATCCTTCTTAGCCAACTAGACTTCTGTTGGGGTTTGGGGGTGTGGAAGGTCCATTCTCATGAGCCCTGACCCCTAACCCTGGGCCTGGGTGTGGCTGACCAGCTCTTTCCTGGAAGCCACAACTTAGAGGTGGAGGGGACGCCCCCAGGGCCTCCAGACCCGAGCAACACACTCCTCCCAGCGGTGGGGTATGGAAGCTGCTTACCCGTTCATCCCCCACTGGGGACCCCAAGAGTTCTTCACGATCCAAAAGGGTATCCCATTTTCTTCTCCATACCCGACAGCCAGTACCGCATGGTTTACTTTATCTGGAGTTTTATGACAGGAAGTACTGGAAGATGAAATTTAAAAAGGGCTGGTAATATAAATAGGACTCAATCACACCCCGCAATGGCTCTCCAAATACTCTACGCAGTAATTCCCAAAGGGGCCCAGGGAGGCACGTGCGGTGGTAAATTCACTTCCATCACAGGATGAGAGAGCTAGTCCCTGCAGGGCTTCTGCGCACGCAGGGGGAGTCTCAGTGTGCTGCTGGCCCATCCTAACACCTGACACTTCTCACCCCCTTTCCCAGCAAGGAGAGAGCTGCGCTCCTGCTGTACCCTCTGCAGGCAGCAGTGTCTTTGTTGCCAATGCATTTATTTTAAAGACTACCTTGCATTTATGGCAAAAATACAGGTTTCCCATTTAGGGAACTGGCTTCCATGAGGAAATTCCAAGAAATTCCAGAGAACAAACTGCAGGGATCACGCATTAATCCAGCTAATGTGTAACTGAGTACGGGTTTGATGTGCAACTAAGCAAGGGTGTGTGCCAGGCCTGGGGCTGGTGCCAGACACAGCAGCATGCACAACTCTGTCCCGTCCTTAGGAAGCCTCGCTGGGCAGCGAGCAGACTGGCAAAGAGGCTGCTTCTGTGCAGTGCCCTGAGGGCTGTGACAGTGAGGACAGTGACAAGAGCCCTGAAGAGGGTGACCCCACCCAGCAGGGATGGGGTGAGGATGGGGTCAAGCAAGGCTTCTCTGGGGAGGCAGTGGACACCCATGAAACTACCAACCCTCAGAGCAGCTGGGGTGTGGGCTGCAGGGTGCGGTGGGTGGGGAAGGGAGGGGGGTCTGATGGCAGATGAACGTGCAGAGAGGAAGGACCAGATCAGAGTCCTCCAGCCACGCTACGACGCTGCGCAGTTGGAGTGGGAAGAGGAGCACTTCAGAAGGCTGCCTCTGGCTCCAAGTGGGGATGGACCCGAGCGTATGTGTGTCTCTGTGTGTGTGTCACAAACCAGTAAGGAGGAGCTGGAGGAGAGGGCTATGGTGGGCCAGGGCAGAGACACAGGGAGGGAGAGGAGAGTGCAGACGTGAGCAGCGGTGATGGGGCAGCGGCTGATGGAGGCAGGAAGGCTTCCCCATGGCTCTGGTGACCCCATTAACCTGGGAGAGGGAGGGCAGTGTCTGGAGGGGACATGTGGGATTTGAGGTCTCCATGGACTGCCCAGGCTAAGGTGGCAGGGAGACCCTTGGATCTACACGTGGGTCTCATGCCTGGTGGAGACCAGGCTGGCCTTGGACGTTCCCAGCAAACAACTGGCCGTGGAGTTTCAGGGGTATCTGAGAACTGGGAAGAGGGCGGAGGACAAAGCCCTGGAAACCACCATTTCAGAGAGGCTATAAAACGAGGAGACCATGATGGAGACTCGGGAGCGTGCAGGAAGTGGTAGGACAGCCACCCGCCTCATCCATGCACGTCACAAAACTGGCCCGTGGTGGAGGCGTGGACAAGGCGCACCCGCGCTGCGACGGTGGGGGGCTCGGTGTTTCTGCACAGCCCTGTGGTGGCTCCTTCCACACAGGGTCCTGGTGTTTGAGGGCAGCTACTTTCTCTTCCCTATTTTACATCTTCAGTTTTTTTTTAAATAAAGAAACACAGTTTTCAGAAATGTGGGTTTACAAAGCACGGTTGCCATGAAGTCTCCCCCATATTTCAAAACTGGGCAGCCAGACACAGAGTTCCCCTGGGCGGCTGGCCCAGTGAACCATGTCACAAGCACAACCTCTTCAAAGGTCTGAACACGGGCTTTCTTAGCTGTCGTGGAGGATACAGCTCTCAAATTTTGGCCCGAGCCCTGCCTGGCCACGTGGCCTGGTCTGCCGTACCCCTTCTGACCTTCTCTCTCCTCTGAGACGCAGACTGGTTCCCGACTCTCAGGGCTGCAGGAGGATTAACTGAGGGAATGGGTAAAATGCCCCACAAAGAGTAGTGTCACAAAATGGTGTGACCAGGAGTCCGGGCTGAGCCCGAGTCCCCTGTGCCGGCCGTGAGGAGCCCCCTGCTCTGCCTCCTGGCTCCTGGGCCCCGGCTCACCTGGAGTAGACACCCTTTTTATACATCATGAAGTCGTTGGTCACCTCAAAGGCGAAGCTCACGGGGTTGTACAGGGCCACAGCCTCCACCATCGCCTCCTCGTCGTTCTGTGGATAGACAGAGGGACCAAGAGACAGACACACGTGGTCTCTGTCGCTTCCCTACCCACTTTCAAAGTACGTCCTTTTGCCTCAAGGTGGGGGCTAGAGGCCCAGAGCAGTGTAGATGCCCAGCAGGAGGGAAGAAACCAGAACCTGGGCGTGGGGCACTGGCATGGAGGCCCCACCCTCTTGGGCCTGATGGCCAGGATCCTTTGGGTTTTTTATTTGGCTTATAGGTCCTTTCTGCCAAACCATGAGCTGATAAGACCCAGACAGTAATGGAAGCCAAGAAGACCCAGTAAAAGGCTTCTGCCTTCAGAGTAGGACCTGACGCCTTCGGGGGGAGGCGGGCGGGAGGAAGTCAAGGTGGCAGCTTTGGAATGGAGCTGCAGAGACCAGGTGAGAGCAGCAGTTAGAACCACCTGCAGAGCCTTAAAACATCCCCACACCCAAGCTGCACGCCAGCCCCACTACGTCAGCATCCGTGGGGTGGGTTCCAGACAGCACTATTTTTCTTCCAGCATCCCAGTTGGGAATGACTGGGTCAGAGTAAGCCAACGAGGAGAACTTTAGGGGCTGCAGTGGGGGTGGAGGTTATGCGAGCTGAGGCTGGGGATCTGCTGAAGGGAAGGGAAGCTCAGGAGAGGTGGGGCACCCAGCCCTCCCATGGTCCTGCCTCCCAGAGGGGGCAGAGACCCAGCTGCAAAAAGCAAATAGCTGCCTGCCTGGTAAGCAAGGGGCTTCCTTCCAGGGCAGGGCAGATCTGAGTCAAGGGAGGCCTGGAGGCCTGCTCAGCATGAGGGGGCCGGATATCAGTGCTGGCCGCTCTTCAGGGCCTTGAAGGTGACACTGAAAAGCTCTCCTAGGGGAGCAGGCAAAGGGAATATCTTTGAGGCCCTGATTCACCTCTCAGTGGGACACAATGGCCCAGAGCGGCCAGCCTTGGTGGGTGTGTCTAAGAGAAACAGGCTCTCTTCTGACTATGGTGACATCCCTATTACAGGGGGTGGGTATATGTTGTTGAGGCCATGAGCCCTGGCTCTGAAATGACATGATCTCAGTTCAAATCTAGCTCCCACCTCCTAGCTCTGGCCTTCAGCAAGTTACTTAACCATTCTGAGCCTCAGTTTCCCCATCTGTAAAATGAAGGTAATAATGACACTCATCTCCTGGGGTTATTTTGAGTCTAAAGGAAATCATGCATGTTGAGTGGTTGCTATAACACCTCTAAACTCTCCATATACTTAAACTGCTATCCTGGCTGAGAGCTTGGCACGTGCTTCAATGAAATGGCAGCTTCTGTCATTACGCAGACATGACATGTGTGACTTGCACATGTGTTTCTGGGCACACGCACCCACTCGCCTCTTGCTGTCATTGCACACATAACGCCCACAGGCCCATGGAGATATTCTTTTGCTCTTCACACAGCCGCCCACTGTATACATGCACGCTGCGGTCACGAGCGCCGTTCCCTCACATTCCAGGGCACGACTGCACTTCCCGTCCACTTGAAGTTAAATGTCACCATGTAACTTGTTTTGGCTTTAAAGCCAGTGCATAATTTCCCACTCTCTTTCCCTCTGCCTGGGTCCTGGAGTGAGGCCAAAGACACAGGGTACAGACCGCCCTGCCTGTGCCATGGACAGGTGGTAGGTGGGAGACACTGACTTTGACTGCTGTCAGCCATTCACATTTGGGGTCGGTTGTTACTGCAGCAGAATCTGTTTCACCCTGATGGACACACAGTCACAGTCCTCCATCTCTCCCATGCACAGGCTTATGCCACACCCTCTTCTGCAGGATGGGGATCGTCACTTGCATTTCACAGACAAGAAAACAGAGCCACAAGAATGAAGATGTGGGCAGACCTGGGGTTCAGAACCCAAGGGTCTGCTTGCCGGTCCATGCTCTCCCTCCCATTGCCCACCACGCTGCTGTCGTGGTGACTGAGACTCAGTGATAATCCAAAATCTCCAATCAAAGTGATGTGCTGCCAGGAGAGGTGCCTTGCGGGGCCTCTGGCCATCTGACAGCCATGCAGATGGGCCTCTTTATCAGAACACACTCCCCATCTGCGAGAAGGTTCCGCTACTCACCATTGTGATGTTGGCTACGTCCTTGACAAATGCAATGGCCTTTCCCGGCTGGAACTTGCAGTCGCTGTCCTGTTCAGGGCAGCGAAAGGCATGGAATATAGGTTAGGGACACTTGGCCTGAGGCTGAGACCTCAGCCTCCCCACGCAGTTGGATGACATTTACTCAACAAAAACCTCATGCGCCCAGTCTGGGTGATGGGCTCACTTCAGAGGGAATCAGAGGGCGCCCAAAGACTGGTGGCAGAAGATGGTCCTGCACTGGCTTTGGCAGAGGTGGGCACACACAGTACTGTGTGGCAGCCCAGGGAGGGCCTGACCCAGCCTGAGGAAACTCACTGAGAAATGGACACTGAGTAAGCGCTTGAGTGGCCGGGGAAGAGGAGCGACAGTGTCAGTCCTGGAAACAGAGCTCACAAGAGGCAGGCACAGAGGTAAAGTCACAAGGAGGGAAGCACAAGCCCCTCTGAGGCAGGAGAAAAGGCTGCGATGACCAGGGCTAGGACGGGAGGGAGAGGCAGGACCTGATCTTCAGGAACCAGCAAGTGTTGGGCCGGAGCAAAAGAGAGAAGACGGGAAAGACTGGCGGGGGGGGGGGCGGCGGGCCTTGAAGGAGGGCCAGAGAGTCTGGGCTGTGTCCTAGAGGCCCTGAGGAGCCTTTGAAGAGTTCTGAACAGCAGGAATGTGGTCAGAGCTGGGTCTGAGAGTCCCAAGGTGGGGTCACCCTCAGTGATCTTGGATGAAGGGAGGCCAAGGTCTGAGCGGGGCCGGGGACCTGGATGGACGAAGCTGCCCATGTGAGAGGGTCTATGGTGGTCGACAGGTTGACTGGACTGAGGGTCTGGGTGGGGGGACCGGAGGCAGGACCACTGGTGGCGAACAGGTGCTGAGGGAGGCCAGTGCTGCTCATCCCTGAGAGGGGAAATTTGGGGGGAAAGACAAGATGCTCGGCTGTGGCCAGGCTGTGCTGAGGTGACAGTGGGGAGGCCCTTGGCACATTCATCAGGCCTTGGGCAACGTAGGAGTGGGCCCGGGAGGGGTTGTCAGGACGAGGTCGGCAATACGGACTGATACTGATGGGTGGGAGGGGAGGGGCCAGAGGATGTGCCTGCTGCGGGGGGAGAGGAGCCAGGAAGAAATAGGCCAGGGTGGGGTGGGGCGTGGGAGGCTCAGGAAGGAGAGAGAGCCACAGATGGGGGACGGCAGAGGGTGGTAAGAGGCCCCTGGACGTGGGGAGAGCGGGGTCTCAGGCAGCTGAAGGAGGGGAAGGAATGCCTGTGAAGAGCGTCGGGTAGGCGTGGAGGTGGGAGCCCTGCAGACCAAGAAGACAGAGCCGAGGCCGCCCAGAATTACCTGGCCCTTGTAGGGGTAGGTGTCTTCACCCATGATGCCCTTGTTGTAGAGAATGTACTCGAAGGCCTGGCTGGGGAGGCCTCTGAAAGAAGCACACACAGATGAGCCCACCTGGGACTGCCCCCAGAGAGCTGGGGCCTGCAGGGGCTGGAGCTTGTGAGACATTTGCCCTGGCCATCTGGTGGCCTTAGTTGGGGCATGTCCCAGAGGCAGAGGAGGTCTCTGTGGGTCTTCAAGAGGCTAGCAATGTCGCCCCATTTGCTTGGCATTGAGATAAAGCTCAGTGAACTCAGGCAAGGCCACTGGAGCCTCAGCCTCTCTTGCTTTGGTGGGACAGAGATCCCTTGAAGCCAGGCCCCCTCTGTCAGGAGGAGCAGGCAGTGCCACAGGATGGCTGGCGGGGTCAGCCCTCTGGGCACTCACCTGGCAGGAGCTCCTCAGACATGACTGCCTGACCCTCTTGTCAACCCCATGTGGTAGATGCTGTCATTTTCTGAGGCCAAGAGGCTGAACAACTTGCCCAAGGCCACACAGCTCAAGTCGTAATTTGGTTTTAAAGGTGGACCTTTTTCTGCATCATACTGCCTCCCAGAGTAAACAACAACTCAACAGCTGCCTGGCATGGCCCTCCCCCACCCCTGCTCGGCTTTCCCCCCATAGCATTTGTCACCACCCGACCTTCTGTATACTTGTCTATGGTCTGCCTGGCCCCGCTAGAGCATCGGCTCCTTGAGTTCTCGAGCGCTGTGTCCCCAAGTGCCTAGATATACAGCAGGTGCTCTTAGTACTGTCCTGAGCCAAAGCAGGCTCCTTTGAAAAATGGTGGAGGCTGGCCAGTTAGCTCAGTTGCTTAGAGCTTGGTGTTGATAATACCACAGTCCAGGATTTGATCACTGTTATCTGCCAGCTGCCAGAAAAAAAAAGGGAAATGGTGGGATGCCCAGGTGCCAGCCTGTTGTTATGAGAGGTGTTTGTGAGTTGCAGGGAGGAAAGAGACCAGAAGTGAGGGGAGACTGAAGGAACGCAGCAATGGACCCATATGCTGGCTGTGACTTCCTTCACCGATGAATGCCAAGAAACTGGACAGGAGCACAGCTCTCTGCAGGAAGCCCTGGTATTTGCTGCTGCTGACAGCAGGAGGCCCTCCCAGGACTTGGCTGTAGAGGAGAGAGAGTGAGGGGGGTGGGGCTGGAGCCTGGTAGAGGGGTGCCTGGCAGGCAAGGTTGGGAGCTTGTTCTAGGGGAGCCCCAAGTGCCCAGCCTTATGTATATTATGTGCTGGGAAGCTGACCCCTCCCACAGAAATGTTTTGGAGTGCAGCACGTGTGCAGAAAGAGGTGAGTCACTGTAGAAACAGGAGCAAACTCCCAACAGCCTGTTTTAAGAATAAGCCAAGAAAGCAGGCCCAGCAGAGATACAGCCCTTACGCATGGACACTACCACATTTATAGCAAAGTCCCCTCCTAGGGCCTGCCAAGCTGGGGTGGCCACTGTGTTAATTCTTTTGGCCAGTCACACAGAGCCTTGGTGGCAGGTGAGGCTGGCCATGCTGTGGAATGAGAGCCAGGAGACACAGTGGAAAGTGGGTGGATTTTAGAACCAGACAGGCCTGAGCTCAGATTCCAGCTCTGCCTGGCTCTGGCTGTGACACCCTGGCTGTGTGAGGTGACACGCCTTCAGCCCCCGTAAAATGGACACCATCTTGCTACCACATAGGGAAGTGGATAGCGTTACGTCTAGCAGTGCCAGGCACATGCTAGATCTGGCAGAAGCCATCAGTGGAAAATGAGGCAGCGTTTCGGGCCCCCATGGGTCAGGGACGTACCCTTGGCAGCCGTGATTGTTGAAGTCCTGGGCACAGTCCACCAGCTGCTGTTCTGCCTGGAGGAGGAACACAGAGTAGGGAGCTGAAAGCTGAGAGCCCATCAGAGGCTTCAGTGTGAGGTACTGAGACTCCATTCTTGATCCACACCAGTGGCCCCATCACACTGTGTCATGATGACTAGATTATAAGCTCCCCAAGGGCAGTGATGTCTCTGTATGTACTGAAGTGCCAGCCCAGCAGCCAGCACAGGGAGGGGCTCAGTGAACTTCTGGCCACCCTGCAGGTGTGCACAGATAGTGTGGGTTGTGGGGTCACTTGGAGGTGTATGGGAGAGGGAAGGACAGGCCTAGCCAGAGACCCTGCCCACGATTCCTTTTCCTCAGGACGCTTGCCAACCCTACCCAGAGACAGTTCTTTCAAAGGCTGTCATCCCTCTCTTGGGAGTCAGGGGATGGCCACACAGGTCCCGGCTCTTCCCTCCATGAAGACAACCAGGCAGCTTGGGAAGGGGCACAGCTCCCAGAGGACTACCTCCCGGGCAGGCTCTGCTTTTCTGAGCCCATCCTCGGTGAAGGCCCCAGGCTGCCAAACTGAGGAACACCCAGATCCACCCAGGAGTGAGGCCTTGGACGGCTCCCTCAATAAACCTCTTTCCTTTCTGGGAAAAGCATCAGTTGAGATTCTCGTGCCAAATGTTCACAGGGCTGGGACACCTGATGTCTAACTGCAATGTCATCGTTAGTTAAAGCCCTGAAGGGACTGAGGCCCAGGCCTGGCCCTCCAGTCAGTCCTTGGGGCATCCTTTGCAGGAGGTGGCCTGGGGCGGATTTCCTACCAAAGAGAGCATCTTCCCAGTTGCAATGGCGACCGCAGACTCCAGGGCCCCTGTGGTGGAGAAGGTCCAGCAACTGCCGCAGCCACCCTAGAGGGGCCACAAGAGGGCAGAGGAAGTCAGTAATTGGGACACCAGGAGACAGCCCCTGCCTTCTGACTTCCTCCACGGACCCCTGCAAGAACCCCCAGGTCCCTGAATGCCTCTGTAGTTTACAAAGCCCTGTTCCAGATTTGTCCATCCTGAGCCTCACAAGTCCTGAGAGGCTGGGGTCCTTCTCCCCTTGAGGCAACGGAGGCTTGCAGAGGGGTGGCAACGGCAGGTAGCCTCTGACCTGCGCCTCTGGACTCCTGATTCTGGCCTCCTGGTGACCAGCCCCCACCAAACTGGGAGAGCCTGGAACCCCCCAGACCTCGTTCTAGTCTCCTGGCTCTCCTACTTGTGAATCTTTTGCTGGTTCCTCTTCTCCCCACTATTTCCCAGCAGAAGGATTCCCCAAAGTTCTGTTTCTAGAACCTTCTCTCCCGCCTTTCCACCACCAATCTCACTCTGTCCACTGTCCTGTTACACTAATAGCTCCCCAAACGCTAGCCTCAGCCCTGACCCCCGCCCAGGCTGACATGGACCCGACTCCCGGGCAGCCCCACCTGGACGCTCCTGACACTCAGGCTCCGGGGTCCTGCCCCGTTCGCCTGTCTCATCATCTTCTGCCACAATCCCTGCCACTGCCTGGCTTCCCTATTCACGGCACCTCCAGGACTGCAGCGCTGCGGCTCATTAGCTGTGTGACCCGGGCAAGTTACTTCCCCTCTTGACACGTCAAATGGGCGGGACAACAGTGCCTGCCTCGCAGGGCTGCTGGGAGGGTCAGTGAGAGCGTGTCCGTCAAGCTGTCCCCACCGTGGGCTCATCACGGTGGTCGCTGCTGTTCTCTCACGCTCATCTGTCTCTCCTCCGCTCCTTGCTGGCTCAGTCTTCCCTCTTCTGCTCCTGAAATGTCTCCTAAACTCCTTCTTGTCCACCCCTTTGTCCTGGTCCTCATCCTTGTCTCCCTGGAAAGAGCCTCCACGCTGGCCTCCCCCCTTGTCTCTTGCTCTCAAATCCTTCCCTGGCAGGGAGGGATGGAGCTAGTCAGAGGGTCCCCCAGGGGGTGACCACACTCACTGCTGAAGGAGGCAGAGCCAGGCTGAGCCTTGGGCGCTGGACTTGGAGCAGAGACCTGATTTTGAGTTCCTTCTGTCACTTGCTTACCTTGGACCCTGGGCAAGACACCTTCCCTGTTTCCCACTCTGTAAAGTGAGCGACCCTCAAGGGGACTGCTGAAGTGATGTTAGGTCCTGTGGCTACTGTCTGAAACCATGCGGTGGCCACACCAACACACCACACACCTAGTGCAGTGACCACTTTGCTCCTGCCCCCTCAGCCCAGGTGGTGCCATACTGTCCGATGGCCCAGGATCAGTTAATGGGGCGACCCGGAAAATTCCTGGTGGACCTCCCCTCGCCACCTATCCAAATGGTGAGTAGGTTTAGGTTTCCACACTTAATACTTGTTGCTTGAACTGTCATGTGATTCTGACGGTGTAAAAACTGCCGCTGGGTCGTGGGGCCAGGGCGGCTTCTTTCCACCCCACTTCCTTCCGGGAGGAGAGATTTGTTTTGGTTTCTGGGTGCTGGTGTAAACATCCTGATCACGTGTTAGGCTCCAGGAACACGGTGAGCCTGGGAAGATTTGAAGCTGTGCCGCTTTAGAAAGTGAAAAAATGTTTCTCACGGAGCGTTTCAGTGGAAAGCCAAGAGTTTCCAGGAAGGAAACCTTGACCTTGTATTTCCTGGAATGGAGATTTCAGCAACTTTCTAAAAAGGGCTACTGCACTGTCATTTCTAGGGGAGGGACCACAGTAGGCAGAGGGAGCAGCAGGGGTGGGGTCCAGACTCCCCAGACCAGGGCAGGCAGTACGATGCCCCCAGGAGGCAGCCCAGTCCTCAGCTCTAAGTTACCAAGTCCTCTCTGCCCCACAGAGAGTCACTGGGAGGCTGGGTGAAATGCTGGGTTTCACTCTGCGCACGGACCAGCTGCAACTGCCCGGAGGGAGGCAGCCGGCCAGCCAGGGAGAGGCAGGACCTCGGTGCTATGGGAGAGGCTGGAGGATGGAGAGAAGATGGATGGGGAGTAGGAACGGGTCCTGGTGTCCGTTCTCTGATGGGCACAGGGAACATAATGTTCGGGGGGACTCTGTAGGAGAGACCTAGGACCAACGGGGAAGTCTGGGGAGCGTGGGGGCAAGGAAGCCCAAAGTCCCAAGAGGAAATTTCTCATCCTCCAGAGCAGCCCACAGAAGCAATGGCCTCCCTGGCCTTTCAGAAGAAGAGAGCTGGAGACATGAGGAGGGAAAAACGGAGCTGAGGATGTGCTTGCAGTGGGTTTGTGGTTCCTCTGAGTTCTACTTCCTGGTAGATTGTCTGAAAATGTGGCTGTTTTTTTTGGGAAAGGATGGGGACTGCCTTGCCTACCTGATTTTTCACTGGTGAGACAAAATTTCCCTTTTTCCGCCAGTCCATGGAGGTTGGGTAGGGACCAGTACCCCGCAGGTAGTTACCTTTGGTGGCTGAGCAATTCTGGAACAACCAAAGACATTATTTTCAGGGGAAAAACAAAACAAAACAATTTTTTTTTTTCTTTTTGTCTTTTTTCGTGACCGGTAATGGGATCGCAACCCTTGGTGTCGCGCCCGCACCGCGACTGGCAACGGGATCGCAACCCTCAGTGTCGTGCCTGCACCGCGCTCAACCAGTGAGCGGACTGGTCTCTATATGGGATCCGAACCCTCGGCGGGAGCGCCACCACACTCCCAAGCACCGCACTCTACCGAGTGCGCCACCGGGCTGGCCCACAAAACAATTTTTGACCAAAAAAAAAGTATAATTAAAATAAATCACCAAGAGACAATGAGAAAGACTAGCTGTTAGAAACATCTCTCCCTTGTCTACTGGTCCTAAATGCTAAATGACATGTCCCCTGGAGAGGGTGGGGGGAGCTAGGATAGGGTAGCCCGATTTAGCAAATAAAAATATAGTTCACCTAGTTAAATTTGAATTTTAGACAACGAATAACTGTAGTGTTAGGATATACTTATTGCTGTGGATTGAATTGTGTCCTTTAAAATTTCGTGTATTTGAAATTTAGCCCCCACCGTGACAGCGTTAAGAGGGTGGGAAATCCTATTATGGTAACTTAGAGGTGGGGCCTTGAAGAGGGGATGTGATCGTGAGGACCCTGCCCTAGTGACTGGCGGTTTAATGGTGGTCCTGGGCATGGCTACGGTGGTTTTATAAGGAGAGTGAATGAGGAGCTCAGTCTCTCTCTTGGTCCTGCCATTCTTGCCATGTGACGACCTGTGTCACTGGAGAGTCACCATCAAAACAAGGCCCTCACCAGATGGTGTGTTCCTTGGACTTTGGAATCCCCAGCCTCTCAAACTGTAAGCCATAAATATTGTTTCTTTACAAATTACCCAGTTTCAGGGATTCTGTATTCTGTTATAAGCAACAGAAATGAACTCATAGACTTATGCTAAAAAATTATTGGTTATTTATCTGAAATTCAATTTTAACTGGGCATCTGTATTTTATCTCGTGACTCTAAGTTAGGGGTCCACATTGCTAAGGCAATGAGCTTGGACAGAGGGACTACTGAGAGCTGACCCCCTTCTGACTCCCCCAAAGAATCTGGGGACACCTGCAGCTGTACCTGGGGCTGAGACTGAATCTGGCAAGGAGCGGAGCAGGCTACAAACTTATTCCAAAGGTGTGAGTGAAAAGATTCGGATTTGGTTGCAATAAATTACACCTACTTGAGGCTGTGACCAAAGATATTTGCGTTTTAATTCAGCAAAGTTCATGTCTGAAAATTGGTTCAGTGCCACTGAAAAACAGAAGGAAAAAAACAAAACAGCTTAGTGAATCACTAAAAAAGAAACAGAAGTAAGGAAACCCCTTGTTCACCTGTGTCCTATTTATAGCTGCTGTCACTTGGCTCTTTTACATTTTTTAATTTAATATGATTCAGTATTGTAAGATCAACCCTATCTGTGCTTAGGAATTGCCTGGGGAGCTTTTCAACAGTATGGATGTCTCAGCTGCACCCCAGAGATGCTGACGCAGTTGGTCCTGGGCACCCATTTTTCTGGATACCCCACTGATGAGTCTGATGGATATCCAGGTAGGAGCCACTAGACTAGTGACAAGTGCCTTCCCACCAGCTGCCTCACTCAGCCCTCATAGCAGCCCAGAGAGGGGAGCACTGTCATCTCCACTTTACAGCCCACGGTAACCCCCACGGTAACCCCCATGGTCACACACTAGCACTGGGCAGAAATGAGATTCGAACCCAGGTTTCCTTCCAGCTCTCGCTGTTGCCTGCATTACCAACCTGGCTGAACTGCCATCACAACATTTCTCAGAGTCCTCAGTGACTACTTTGGGAGTGTGTGTGTGTTTCTAGTGACACTAACCTGGAGTGAAGGGCAGATGTGCCTCGTGGTGGCAGGCATGGGGCAGGGGCTTCTACAGAGTCTCTTGTAAACTTTACTACCACCCAGAGAGGTATCACACTGTCCTAAATTTACAACACCATGTCACAGAGAATAGCGCAGCCACAATCTGATGTCAGCCAAATACAGGGTCAGAGCTTGGGTTCTGTTCTCTCCACCCTAAGCCCCTAGTGGGCTCTTGAATCAGTGTGTGTCACCAAAGGATTTCTTTTTAGATCTGAGATGCTCCCTCCTCCCGAGGGACCCGAGAAGCCTGGTGGTAAGGCATCCCCACAGTACTTTTAAATGTGTGGTTCCCACTGTTGTGGGCATTTATCTTCCTCCAGTTGCTGACAAACGTCTGCAGCCTGTGGTGGTACTCCTCCGAGCTGTATGTCTTTTGGTGCTAAAACAAAACACATCAGCAATAAGTCACGGAAACAGGATGCAGCTCACTGGAGAGGAAAGATGGAGGTTGTCTTTTTGCTATGATGCTCAGGTCAAATCTGTGTTAGTGGGTGGGACACTGTCCTGGGTCTCTGCTGTGAAAGTTGGGAAGTTACAAAGCAACCCCCTGCCTCAGGGACTTACAGCCAGAATGCAGACCATGCAGCTGCCTGAAAGAGGGCTAACAGTCCAAGAGACCCCGGTGAAGGCACCTGCGAAGTGCAGACCTGCACGCCATGGCTGGTGCTGGGTCAAGGTTATGGCAAAAATCACTATTTTTCAAAAGCACACACACTGGTGTTCTCCAGTAGATTTTGCAGCCAGTATGCAATGTGCTTTGAATACAAAATATAGAAATGAATCCCAAGGCTTGAAAGGCTGCCAGCCAAGTTCATCACTGGGACCCACTGTTTGGAAGGAGTTTACTTAACTGCATCTTTCCCAGTGCTGGCCAATTCTAAGTCTGCAAACACTGGGGGAGTCAGAGTAGGGTTGGAAAATCCCTCTTTACTGTCTCAAATCTGGTACAGTTTGGTTTTTTTTTTTTTCCTTTTTGTCTTTTTTCGTGTCCGGCAACGGATCGCAACCCTCAGTGTCGCCCCCGTACCGGACCGGGACTGGCAACGGGATCGCAACCCTCAGTGTTGCTCCCTGCACCTCGCTCAGCCAGTGAGCGGGAACCGGTCTGTATGTGGGATCCGAACCCTCGGACGGGAGCGCCGCAGCGCTTCCCAAGCGGCGCACTGTAGCAGTGCGCCACCAGGCCGGCCCAGTTTGGTTTGATAACAGGAAACTTTACGAAATGAAAAACTTCAGAAAGAAGAAGTTGGGCACTGACCTTTACCATCCATGACTTGAAGTGAAACTTCTCTGTAAAAAGAAAACAAAAAAAAAATTAGGTCTGGATGCCTCATGGCAACGTTGGGTCTACAACCAAATAGGGCACTTGAGAATTGATTTGCATTTTAGAAAACTTGACTAAATTTAAAACACCAAAAATGATGTTATCTAATACAGAATTCAGAAAGGACCTCAAACTTTCTGGCTTTGTATCCCAAATTAACTTTGAAAAATAATATACTACTTATGTACGGTGTTAAAAGTCAGGATAGTGGTTATCCTTAATGGAAAATTCATTGAAATGCATGCCTAATAATTTGTGCCCTTTTCTGTGTGACGTTACAGTTCAATAAGGAGTTAATTAAAAACCTGTATACCCAAGGGTGAGCAAATGTTTTCCCAAAGGGGACAGATAATAAATATATTGGTCTTTGCAGTCTATATGGTCTTAGTCACAGTTACTCAACTCCGCCCCAGCAGTCCAAAAGCAGCCACAGACAATAGGAAAATAAATGAGTGTGACCGTGTTCCCATAAAATTTTACAAAAACAGGTTGCCCAGTTGCTTGTGGATTTCTGCTATATCGCCCTTGTACATTTTTATCTAAAAATTGTTTTAAAGTTTCAGATTTATTATACATTATTAAAACTCTTTAAGATAAAAAGTAAAATTTTGGGCCGACCCTGTGGTGCACTCGGGAGAGTGCGGCGCTGGGAGTGCAGTGATGCTCCCGCCGCGGGTTCGGATCCTATATAGGGATGGCCGGGTGCGTTCACTGGCTGAGCGAGGTGTGGGCGACACCACACCAAGGGTTGTGATCCCCTTACCGGTCACGGAAAAGACAAAAAAAAAAAAAAAGTAAAATTTTGGGCCGACCCTGTGGTGCACTCGGGAGAGTGCGGCGCTGCGAGTGCAGTGATGCTCCCGCCGCGGGTTCGGATCCTATATAGGGGGGGCCGGGAGGGGTCACGGGCTGAGCGAGGCGTGGGCGACACCACACCAAGGGTTGTGATCCCCTTACCGGTCACGGAAAAGACAAAAAAAAAAAAAAAAAAGTAAAATTTTACTGGAAATTCATTTAATGAGATCTATAGAACCCTCTCCTATGGATTTATATATTCATGAGTGAATATTACCTATTGTTTGAATAAGGTAGGGTTGAGCATGAATTCTGGTCTGATTTTGTTTTTTATAGGTCAAAGGGCTGGGAAATCCTACTCAAATGAGCAGCTTGGGATAGAAGGAAGTTTTTTAGAGCAATGTCATTAAATTCTTTGTATTTCCTCCTGTGCCCCAAATCACATGATGCTCTGTCACATAATTTCTAAGACCCCATCAGCTGACACCCCGGGAAGGTCCTCTTCTTCTTCAGTTTCAATTTCCTTGAAGAATCGAGAACCAGACTCGAAGAAGGATTTGTAACAGTTTGCCTTTTTGTTTGCCGCCCCAATGCTTTTACCTGCAGGTTCAGTTTCAGGATGAAGGAGAGGAAGGAAAGGGGTTCCTCCTGCCTTCAGGCATTTTCTCCCAAGTTTAGCAAAGAGCACATTTGGAAGTAAAGGTTCTGGAGGTTGATTCCCTGAACACTATCTATGCTCGAATGTCTTGTATTCCCCCAGGGATCCACACCCCCAGTGTGCAGATCACTGCTTTGTGGGTCCCAGACCTGTTCTACAAACCAAGCTAAGACCATTTTCCCTGGGGAAAAAATGCACAACACACTTCCAGGGTAGGGTCTGAGGGGATTCCAAATCCTTGTTAAGGGCCCTGTTGCAGCTGAGTGCTTCATAAGAAGACAGATCTCAACTCAGGTCCAGGGTTTGAGGCAGAATGCTCTTTGCCTGGGGTGGGGGTGGCGGGAACGTTCAAAAACAAGCAGGTGTGAAAACCCCCAAAACTACTTCTCATTTTTAGGAGGTCAGTGGGAGAAAAAGCAGAGATGAACTTGGGGTAGGGCCAGAAGGATCTGCTGGTGACCCATGTCCTAACCACAAATAGATTCTTTCCAATCCAGTTATGACTTTTTGAAGAAGTATCATTATGTGTGCCCTGCCAGGGGGCCGTATGGAAAGTATCTCAAAGCAGGGGTCAAGAAACTACAGGCTGTTTTTGTACAGCTCATGAGCTATGAATAGTTTTTACACTTTTAAACAATAGTAGCACCCGTAAATCATTTTAAATTCAAATTCCAGTGTCCATAAATAAACGTTTATTAGAGCACAGCTATGCTCACTCATTTCCATACTGTCTATGGCTGCTTCTGTACTACAATGGCAGAGTTAAGTAGTTGCTACAGTGACCTTACGGCCTACAAAGCCAAAAATGTTTACTATCTGGTCTTTTGCAGAAAACGTTTGCCGAGCCTTGCTCCAGAGTTAAGACAGCTTTTCAGTGCCAGCCCCCCTCCATGCAGGTCACACTGCCAGGGCAAAGCAAAGCCCTCACTTGGGGGCAGCTGGGTTTCCTTTAGGTCAGGACTGACCTACAGCTGGGTACCCTCCAAGATTCAAGGTCAGGGGGCTTTCTTTTATAAATGGGTGAGAATACCAGGCAAGATTCTGACCAGACAAGATTCAGCCTCAGTGATCTCTGTCCTGTTCCCAGGCTGTTCCTTGGCTACCATTCACTGTCTTCAGGGTGAATGAGATTGGTGGTCTGTAAGCTCAGAGCCTGAAGGCTGAGGCTGGGGCCATGAGCAGCAGGGAAGGAGGGGGGCTGGGGGGAAGGAAGGGAGGAGGCCTCGGGGAGGGGCAGGCTCCTCGCCTTCGTCTGGGGAGACGCCTGGAGCCCAGCAGTAGAAGGGTTGGAGAGCAGCATGAAGCTGGACCAGTCACAGCCGACCTGGACAAAACGGGGAGTCCTGGGGCTTGACCTTACCCAGGGCTCTGGGGTGAAGCCTGCTGTGGGTCTGAGTGCTTTCCTTAGTGCTGCCGCTCAGGGAGTCGCTCCTCCAAGCAGCCCGTCCAATCCATTCTACACGTAGAATGTGCCTATACCAGGCACCCGTGGGGATCCCCTACGTGCCAAGTCCCCAGATAGGCCACTAGAAAACGCTGGAAAGTCCCTGCTGCCTTTGGCAGGGACCGATCAGAGTCCTCTATGTCCCCAGTTGGAGTGGGCAGAAGGAGCTGCTGGCTTCTTTGGTATTCTAGGCTCAGGGGCCGCCTGGGCAAGCGGGACCCTGGACACCCAGCCCCCCTGCCCTTCTGGTCATGCCAGAAGCCCACCCTCCGAGACACCCCGCTCCCGGATCCCCACTCGCAGAGCCCCTGAGCCTCGGCCCTGGGGAATGCCCCGCTCCTCCCGAGCCCCTGTCCCCACCTCCCCCAAGGGCTCCCGAGGGTGGCGCTCCTTTCCCGCGGCGCCTCCGCGTCCCCCTGGCGTACCTGAGGCGCTCACGGACAGCGCCGCGGCGCCGCCGGCCGGGGGTCCCAGGAGCCAAGCCCCGGCGCAGAGCAGCGGCAGGACGGCCCACATCGCGGCGG